TCAGAGGGAAGGTAGGGGAGAATGGGTGGGAAGAGACCAACCAATAAACTTGCATGCATATATGCAAAACCCGTGGACACATACAATGGGGTGGTGAGGGCTTGGGGCTGGGAGAGGGGGGAGGATGAGAGCTGGCTGGAAGAGGTTAATGAGGGAAAAAGGAGGACCTATGTAATACTTTCAACAATAAAGATTTTAAAAATTGCAATATCCAAAGCTAAATAAATCCTGGTCAAAGGCACCGTTTCTTCCTCTCCCATTCTATATGTCAAGCTTGTACTAAAATTCCTCCACTTCAGTCACAAACATGTATTAAGTGCTATTGTATATCTGGCACAGGCTTAGATACTTGAACTACATCGTTAAACAAAACTGAGAAAGCTTCCTGAACTCTGCCCTTGTGGAAGTCAAATACTAACAGAGAGACAACAAAAATGCATAATAAAAAATTACATGGTATATTAGCAGGTTACAAGTAGGGGAGAGGGGAGAAAAAGTAAAGCAAGGAAAGAGATGAGGAGTATTAAAGTTTATAACTTTAACTAGGGTGGGTCAAAGAAGTTTTAAAAGAAAGTATAAAATATTTTAATCCAATGAAAACTCAACTTATCAAAATTTGGAAGATGCAGTTAAAGCAGTGCTTACAGGAAAGTTGATAATATTGGACATATGCACTAAGAAAGAAGAAAGATAAAATCAGTAACCTAATTTTCCACTTTAGGAAACTAGAAAAGAACATTTTAATTTTAAAGCAAGAAAAGAAGTAATAAAAGTATGGACAGAAACCAGTGAAATTCAAAGCAGAAAAACAACAGAGAAAAATTAATAAAATCAAAAACTTGTTCTTTGGAAAAAAATCAATTAAAATGACAAACCTGTAGACAGTCTAAATAAGAAAAAAAGAGAGAAGATACACATTGCCAACATCATAAATTAAAGAGGGATCATCATTACTGAGTCCACAGACATTAAAAGGATAATATACTTGAAATATATACAATTACATTTGTCAATTATTCCCCAGTAAAGGTTTATTTTTTTTGGAAGCCACGAGATTTTAATTTTTTCTTTCTTTTAACTGCTACACTAACTAGATGCATGAGAGTCCTGAACAATAAAACTATTTATACATTGAATACAAAATAAATGTAAAATAACTATAAAATAAATGAAAAATTAGTTATCCAGGGATTCATTTTGCATTCCCCCTGTTCAGCTTGTTTCATCTCTCTTTGCCTTTTGAAAACCCCTCTCTTTCTTGCTTTCCAATCAACTTTTGGCTCTGGTTTTACCCACTGTACTTTTATCTGTTGTTCCTTAGCTGGTGTAACAAAAACATCTGCAGTGGGTTCATATGGAAGAATCATCTTTGGTTCTTTCTCCCTCAGTTTCTCTGCCTCTTTAACTTCCTGTTTCCCTTTGTATTTTGCAGCTGTGATGGGTCTTACGCCACACCGATGGATGTTTGGTGACTGGTAGTGAGGATTTTCACATAAAGCTGGTACTCCAAAACTTCCCTGGAAAATCTTTATGAGATTTAAGACAAAATGAAACCCTATTTCTATAAGAGCAGCATCTTCTCCTATGATCTGAAAGTTCTGAAATGATATCCTATTATCCAAAACAGTGAAAATAAACACGTGGCTTGCAAATGACTGGCTTTGGGGATGACAGTGCGGTGGGTGTACTGAAGGCCTGACTTAAGAGTTCTTTTATCAAAGCTTATTGCGGTAATTCATCAAAAGCAAGGTCAAAAGACTAAAGGGGCTGAGAACCTTTCAAACAGTTTCCAGTCATCTTTAGTTCAGTGAGGGTATGGATGTTTTGAACTAGAAACTTAACAGATGGTCTATGAGGTGAATTTGAAAACCACATATAGAGAGAGATCTTTGTTTCTTCTTAGCTTCAAAATAGAAACATTTAATGTAGTTTCACATTTCATAGGCCTCATTAATCACAAATAACTTATCTTTACGATCCATTTTAGTATCTGCTTTAGATTGAGGCATCCACATTCTTAAGTCTTGCATTAAACGTCTTGTTCTGAAATGTATTCCTCTGGGGGAAAAAAGGAGAATCCATCCCTTCTTTCTGCACTTGCCCTTGCAAATGGGGCCTGGGGTATAGTCTCTGTCTTCTCCCTCCACCTCCTCTGCCAAGTCCAGCTGCTTAGCTGGGGCCGGTCATCTTTTTTTGTTCCTTTCCAGCTTCTTCCTTTGAACCCCAACCCAAGGCTCCAGGTCATTCCCTCTTGGTGGCCATCGTCTTGTCTCACTGCCTTTGCTGTTAGTACATTTTTTTAAAGGATAGTAAAGAATGCTATGAACAACCCTATGCCCACACATTTGATAACTTAGCTGAAGTGGGCCAATTCCCTGAAGACAAAAATTACCAAATTTACCTTTTGGCTGACCTTTGAGGAAAATATGAAGACTCTTAAGAAATACCGAACAAAACTGATGATAAAGTAGTTTCTTGACTTTTCATTTGTTAAAAGAAGAGTTGAAAATCCTTCGTGTGTGCTTGATAACATTGCAGGCATCTAGCCTGCACTTCAGCAAAGCAAAACCCAATTATTAGACTGAATAACTGGCCGTGCGCTGCCTCCCTCCTCCTCCTATGCCCCACCTCTCATCCGTGACCTCCTATCCTGGTTCTTCTCTCTCTGCCTCTGCTGCCACCCACACTCCTGGCACGGAGAGCACCATCCAGATGGATTGCTTCCCCGTGCCACACACCCAGATATCTGGATGCCATACAGTGAACAGAATTTTTCATTTTCTTTCCAAGAGGTGGCCTGTGATTCAAACAGAGTCTCTGTATTGTCTGGCTCAGCTCTGGAAATTATCAAATTATCTATAAAGAAGAATGAAAAAGACATGAGGGTGAGGAAATCCAGTGGGTTTGAAGAGATCGCCCTGAGGTTGACCTTTGCAGTCAGTTTTTGCTGAGATAAGAAACACGTACAAAATGTATGTCTTCATACTGAAACACCTTCTGTTTGGAAACCCAACTTCTGAGGGGGTGAGGTCAGGAAACAGCTGGGGAGTTATTTCTCCTTTGTAGTATGCTAAAAACTTTTATCCCAGAGACGGGTAGGAGGATAATCTTCCTCTTTAAAAGCCATTAAATGAATCCGTGGAAAAAGCAGAAACTTGGACTGAATGAGACAATGCAATAGAATTTCATATGTTTTGACCTGGTAAAAAACTGATTCGGAACATAGGCAATAATAGATCACTTCATTTCCATTTGACTTTTTGAAAGATGCCACTACTATATTTGGGAACCGGAAATGAGACTTTAGAAAAAATTGGAAATTACCAAGAAATCAATCACAAATTGAAAACAAATAATTCTAAGAAATGTAAGCAAGGTTTATGAACGTCAGAGTAATTCAAGTCCTTGATATTTGTTAAATCACAATATAATGAACAGAATTGTTTACCTTTATTCTCACTTCAAAAATTAACCCAAAAGCCTACAGACAACAAACCCACAAAATACTAAAACAATTCTTGATAGGAAACTTACAAGGACTTTTATTTTCCTGGAGCTGGCAGCAGATTGCAGGAATTATAGCCCTTTCTAATTTCCAGAAGGGTTCTAATTTTATGCTATAGGTGGCCCTTTACACATACAATAAATGTCTATGTACAAAGATCAAATATGGCTTTTCTGTTGTAGCCATTCTCCACTCTTTGTGTAATTTAAATTTTCAAACATGTTTGTAAAACACAAAGAAGAGGATGGCAAATTTCACAATGGATTAGTGATCTTGCAAATAGTTTAAAGACTCTTGTGCTGTATCTGTCTAGTAGGGTGACTTATTTTGGAAATATTATCTCAATCTTTTAAATTCTGTATGAGCGGAACTGTTTAGGTAAAATATTTATGATACTAGCACTCAGGGTGTATTTCCAACCAGAACATCTAGGGAAGGGATTCTAATTGAATTTGAGGACAATTACTGTTTAAAATTATGAGATAATCCAATATTGCCTTTTATAGATATTGATTTTAGGTGATTTTATCCTTTTTTAAAATTTAACTTTATTGTTGAAAGTATTACAGATGTCTCTCCTTTTTTCCCAGTGCCCCCCTCCATCCGGCACCCGCCCTCCCAGTCCTTCACCACACTACTTACTGTCTGTGTCCATGGGCTATGCATATATGCATATAAGTTCCCTGGTTAACAAATGATCACAAGATAAATCTAATACATTTGACATATGAATTTTAGTTGAGGAAAACTGGCTTACATCATATCAAGTAATGACCATCAATGCCCAAATTTGGAGGAAACTGCAAAGTTCTTGAACTATATAAATCTTTTTCCTTTTTGAAAATGTTTGTTGTGTTTTATTGTGGTAAGAACACAAAACATAAATTATACTCTCTTAACAATTTTTAAGTGTGTATTACAGTATTAATTAGAAGCACAGTGCAGTACAGCAAGTCTCCAGAACTGATCTTGCAGGACTGAAACTCTATACCACTGAACAGCTCTCCACTGTCTCCGCCCCTCCACCATGGCAACTACCATTCTACTTTCTGTTTTTAGAGTCTGATTACTTTAGATACTGTATATAAGTGGTCACAGGTCTCTCTTTGTAACTTCCCACTATGTCATGCCAATCCATATTTAACATGAACTCATTATGGTGAGGTTTTATCATCCAGTTTAGTGATTATGACTGGTTTGCTCTACTGTGTTTCTTGCTAGTTGTGTCTTCTTGAATTATAGACAGTTCAAAACTAAAAATAAGATTTCCCATACTCACAGCCGAGTTCTGGATGTGATTTTGGTTCTGCCTCTTTGACCCATTCATGTAAGATTATGAAGCAGAAGTGAGCTAGAGGCCGTGATCCTGTGCTTCAGAGACATGAAGGCATAGGTGTTGCTGCAATGGCTTAGTCATGTCCAGTCACTTTCTTTGTGGGTGTTGAAAGCAATTGGTAGTGGTTGTGGCAACTGGAATCCCTGTTCCAGCACCAGATCTGTCTCCTGCTTCAACAGTATTTGGACAGAACAGACCCAGGGATGCCCCTTTTTCCAGCCTCCGGCCACTCTCCTGTGTCTTATCCAGTCACGGGGCAGTCATGAGGCAGTTGATCAGTAGGGACAGGCACTTGCTGATCCTAGGCTGCAGCTATAGCAGGTTGCCCTGATGTCCCCAGTTCTAGGGGCCCATCCTGGTCCATCAGCTTCCTGATCATGAGAGGACGATTGCTTCACCTACAGGCCAGTTTAGGTATTTTATTCTAGGAGCCTTTCATAGAGACCCTGATTAATATACATTCCTTCAACCTCCGCCATCATTTTTTAAGCATTTAATTCTCTGTCACAAACCACTTTTCACATCAAGTTTTCAACGTGTTCCTCATTCCTCCATCTGGCTCTTGGCTGATTCACCAGCTGAGGGTGATAGCATGTTTAACTAGATCCCAGCCTCAATGCCCCTCCCTCTGCCCTCAGTTTATTAGATCCCTTGGTCTTTAATCAACTTCAAGCAGAGACAGAAAATCACAATCAGTCGTTTTAGTGCTAGTCTCTCCAACTGCTCTGATTACATTACTGCAGTAAAATGATAAACTAGCATTTCAGTAATTATAAATTAATTATAATTTTGAAATACTATGCCAAAACCTGTATTTCATTTTAAAAGTATTCAGTATTCAGAGTATATTTAAGACTGAAATGGAACTAAAAATATAATAGATTTTAAATGTAAAAAATAAGTAAAAATGTAAATGAATGCATATATAAATATTAATCACATTCTGATGAACTATTGGAGGATTAAATGAATACAAAAAATTACTATTATAAAATAGTAAGATGGACACTAATATAAGATAAAGATAATACATAGTGAGAATTTTTAAATAAAACATCACTTCAGATATGTTTTTAAATGCAGCCTTAGAAGACAAAGTGCAACAAGCATTCATGCATGAACATGTAGTTATTTTGTGCCAAATATTTTAAGCCTCAGTTAAAAATTCTGAACTGTCCCTGTAAGTAGAATGTTGAGGTGATGTTATGTCAATTCAAACATTTTCCTCTAACTCATTCAGCTTCAAATAAACCTTTTTCTTGACTAATTTTATTATTTTTATTTTTTAAAGATATTTTATTGATTTTAGAGAGGGGCGGGGAGGAGAAGGAGAGAGAGAGAAACATCGAGGTGAGAGCTAAACATCTATCAGCTGCCTCCTGCTGATCCCCCACCAGGGATTAAGCCTGAAAGCCTGGCATGTGCCCTGACCAGGAATCAACTGGCAACCCTTCGGCACTCGAGACAATGCCCAACCAACCGAGCCACACCAGCCAGGACTTTTCTTATAATTTTAAAGAAATCATTTGAAGACTTTTACTTGGGATTGGGGAAAGAGATTTGAGGCTGAAATCTTTATAATGAGAGTGAGATGTTCTTGTTTAAAGAAAACATTTCTGACTTGTCCTCTTTAGTTTCCTTGTGTAGAGACAGAGATTCTGATTTACAACTTCCAGTATCGATTTGGATACTGTCATATTTCCTTTGTTTAGAAATTCTTTTCACTAAAATAAAATTTGTTTTTCAACAGAAGCTGTCTAGCTCCCTAATATGGCTGCTTAAACTCATACAGGCTGGGATGTGTCGAAAACTACAGACTGCGTATCATTTTTTAAAATTTTCACAATATATTTTATTGACTCCAACAGACATACTATAATCTCAATATGTATTCAATATAAGAAAGTTATTAACATTCCTTTTTTAAAATCAAAGTGTTAGGAAACCAATACAGCACACCTCAGGTCTCACTTGGCACATTTTTACCTTTGCATACACACTTAATAATAACCCCATCATTTAACTTAATCTAAACATGTAAATTACTGAGTGCCCTGGTCAGTCCTGGATCTGTCTCTTGCTTCAACCTGTTTGGACAGAACAGACTCTTCTCCACCTTCAGAACCACCTCCAAGACCAGCCAACACACCGATTTCTTTTCTACCTTAACTCCTTAACTCGACTTAATTTTATTTATTGCCGAACAACCATGAGCTCCCAAATTCGTCAGAATTATTCCACTGAGGGGGAGGCCTGGCCAACCTGCCTCTGCGGGAGCCCACACCTACCTCTCTCTGGGCGGGATGGCGGAGAAGGGCTCCTAGTGTCTCTTACAGTTGCAAACCCAGCGCGGGGGCCGCACTCTCCCCCAGGACGCGCTGAGGCCTCCCCAGATGAGGGGGCAGAACTCGGGGGCCAGGGAGGCCGCCCGGCCTCGGGGAGGAACCTGACCAGGCCCCAGTGGACCTGCAGGCCCTGGTTCTGCCCCCGCAGACGCTCAGCTCTAAAGTCCTGCAGAGCCGCTTCCGGGTGAGGAGGGGAAGCGCATCCAGAAGACGGGCCCCACCTGGCTCCCTCCGCAGCTGCAGCCCGGGCCGGGCGGGCGAGTGGCTCCAGGAAAGGCTCGGCCTCCAGCACCACTAGGGGCCTGGGGAGCCCGGAGGCCTGTGAGGGGCCCCTCTGCCTCCCCTGGGGTCTGCCTTGTGCCTGAGCCTCTCCCCAAAACCCCAGCCATTCCTTTAACCACCCTGAAGCCCTCTCCCATGCACTGGACCAAATGGAACAATAAAGCTTTTTGCAGAAAAAAAGTAAATTACTAAGATGTCAGACTTTTAAAAAATAGCAATATATACCCACAAAAATGCAGCTTTTCACAAACATGTCACATAGGACTTTATTCCCCCCGCCCATCCCCCATCCACATATTTTTGTTCCAGCTCTGTCACCCTTTAGCTCCCTCTCAGAAAGTGCACGTTCCCTTCTTATTACAAAAGTGGAAGCCTTTTAAGAAAGGCTCTTACATGCCCTACCTAGTTTGGCTCAGTGGATAGAGCAGTGGCCGGCAAACTGCGGCTCGCAAGCCACATGCGGCTCTTTGGCCCCTTGAGTGTGGCTCTTCCTAAGCCTTAGGAGTACCCTAATGAAGTTAATAACAATGTACCTACCTATATAGTTTAAGTTTAAAAAATTTGGCTCTCAAAAGAAATTTCAATCGTTGTACTGTTGTAAGTTTGGCTCTGTTGACTAATGAGTTTGCCAAGCACTGGGAGCATCCACCCACGGACTGAAGGGTCCCGGGTTCAATTCCAGTCAAGGGCACGTACCTTGATTGCAGGTTCCCTGGCCATTCTCGGGGAGGGTGCAGGAGGCAACCAATCAATGTGTCTCTCACATTGATGTTTCTCTCTCTGTATCTCCCCCTCTCTCTTCCACTCTTTCTAAAGATCAATGGGAAATATAACATATCCTTGTATAAGGATTATCAAACAAACCAAAAAAGGCCCTTACATGATGATCTCTCATCATTCCAAGCACTTTGTCTTCACACATGTTTTCTGTTTTTCTGTCCCAGGGGAAGAGGTGCCTTGGCTTCTCACCAGCTTCTATTTCTTTCCTTTCCTGCCTCTTGGGAACCTCATTCATTAGTTCTCCATGGCCCTTCCCATTTTTTCCTTCATCTCTACGTTCTTTCTCTCTATTTCCAAAAATGTGAGTTCTCCTTATATTTTTAAATTTCCCTTGACTCTGTCCATTTCCTTTTTCTCCTCCAGAAGCAGGACAGTTTGGGGTCCTGAGTAGGCAGCCTGCTGCTCATCTTCCGTCGTTTGCAGGCAGACTTTACCTCCTATTAGCGGTGGGACCTCCAGCAAGTTACTTAATCTCTGAGTATAAAGTGCTGATGATCATAGTGTTGTTATTAGCTTATTGTGATTACTTGATTTTCAAAAAACATTAACCGTATTTCCCTTTCTTTTCTTCTGTGGCCTCTCTTCCTTACTAAGTACAAAGGTCTGAAATTTAAAGTCACAAGAGAGAAATGCAAAAATGCAGCTTTATGTTTTTGCAAGTGAATTTAACTTGCTCATGAGCCGAATTTCTACCCCATAATAGAGAACACTGAAACTAGCCCTTGGAGGAAAGGAAGGAGAAGCTGGTTTTAAAGTTGCCTCTGATGCATTAAAGCTCAATGTTAGGCTCCTCCACTCGTGTGTCTAATTACATCTAAGGGAACAGAAGGAAGCTTAAGGCAGCTCTATTGATAGTCTTCTCGGTGAAGAAGAGTGTGCAGCAGGTTTAGCCTTACAACAGAGACGGAAATCTTTATCCTACAGCTCAATTTCAGTTTCATCAACAAAGGCAATGAGGTGTTGCTTGTGATGAGATGTTGAGATGTGTTTTTTTTTTTAAATATATATGTTTATTGACTTTAGAGAGGAAGGGAGAGGGAGAGCGAGATAGAAACATCAATGATGAGCCCTGGCCGGTTTGGCTCAGTGGATAGAGTGTCGGCCTGAGGACTGAAGGGTCCCAGGTTCGATTCTGGTCAAGGGCATGTACCTTGGTTGTGGTCACATCCCCAGTGGGGGGTGTGCAGGAGGCAGCTGATCAATGTTTCTCTCTCGTCGATGTTAATAACTCTCTATCCCTCTCCCTTCCTCTCTATAAAAAAAATCAATGGAATATATTTTTAAAAAAGAAAAAAGAAACATCAATGATGAATCATTGATTGGCTGCCTCGTGCACATGCCCCACTGGGGATTGAACCCACAACCCAGGCATGTGCCCTGACCAGGAATCGAACCCTGACCTCTTGGTTCATAGGTCGATGCTCAACCACCAAGCCATGCCGGCTGGGTGAGATGTTTTTTGACCACAGCATTATATCTAAGAAAACAATTTCCCTATGCCACTGCTGTGTGTATCTGTCTAAAGGATGGAGGAGAATTGTGAACCGTATTTCATTTATGCTGAATTTTGTGGCTCAATGACTATTCTGTACTATTCTCTGTTACATGTTATTTTAACACTCATCTAGAAAAAAAATGTTTACTAAAACCCAAAACTTAGAATTGTAAGATAAATATACATTCGGGCATCGTGGTAGCTGCTAATTGATCCATGCCAAAAAAGCAGCAAAGAAATAATCTTGGAGAGTTCATATTTGACTACACAGTCTTTTCTTATAACGGAGTGTAGAAGGAGCAAAGATTTCATTGAGACACACCCTCCTTTTTCTGATATATGCAGTCTTGTCTCTCTGGGAATCTTGGAGCAAAGCCTGCAACAGCTAGAATTGTAAATCAGAGAAACCATCCTGATGAGAGGAGACTTCCACAAAATCCATCAAGTCTAAATTAGATGGGAGTTCTGGAATAAAGGGGGGCGGTAACTAAGCAGATTGTGGGTGGGAGATGATTTATGCTCTAAGGAAAAATGGGTTTTGGGAGTTTCTTCCCTCCTAAAGTCAACCAAAACTTTGCTCCCTCTCTTTTCACTTCTTCCTATCACTTTCTATAGAAAGCAGTATTCCCATTGCCAATTACATAATTAATTATCTGGATGGCCAACTTCCCTGAACAAAATGACAGTAGCAGGTGCTCAGTCGGAGTGCAGCTTATGCAAGAATGAAGACCTCTGGTCCTCTGGGTCACTGTGACACAGAGCTCAGAGGCAAGGACCCGTGCATGCCATGGCACGGAGGCAAAATGATGGCCAGCCACCAACCCACAGATGACAAAAACCATCATTTTAGAGTTGAGTTGTGATGATTGCATTTTCCTGTAGGCATTGTAAAATAAATAAACTTGAAGCAACCCTGCATAAGTTTGAAGTAATCAAATAAATTTGACAGACATATGGGAAACAAGTGAACAATTCATGTGCTAAAAAAAACCAAACCCATAAATTGCTCCTTTTATTATTGGAGAAAATATGTGCACTGCATTAAATATTTCTGCTTATTTCTTTGATGAATATTCTAATGAACTGGATTTAGTCATATCTTAAAATGACACAAATCCTACTACCATACGTTAACCAAGCCCATTTATTATTTATAGAAATGCTAAACCACTTTCCATTACAAATAGAGATTAGTAAGCCTATTCCTGCAGGCATGGCTAACATAGAAAGGATAACCTGCATTTTTTTTTATAAGTACAACATACATCCAAAAAATACAAAAATCTTAAGTATACAGCTCAAAGAATTTTTACAGAAGGAAACACACCCAGCCAACTACCACACAGATCAAGATATGAAATACTGCCTGCATCCTTTGTGTCACATCCCGGTAACTACCACTTTGAAGGTAATGCTCGGCTAACTTCTATCACCATCGATTAGTTTCCACTGGTTTTGAATTTGAAATAAGTGGAGTCATTCAAGGGGCTCATATACGTATATATCTGACTTCTTTCACTCAATAGTTCGTGAGATTTAACTATGGTATCACAGAAGTTTTCATTGTTCATAGCTCGCTTGTGGAAATATATGCAAATTTACTTATCCCTTGGATGGGCATTTGAGTTGCTTGGGGCTATTACACACAATGCTTCTCTTACATCTTTTAAATTAATAAAGTATTGCTTTCTTTGTTTAATTGTTATTCACTTTGTAATGATATATGTTTATATTGTTCGTGTTTACCTTAATTATCACAAAAGGCATCTTTTGCTTATTAGAGTCTATCTTAAATTTGTACTTTTCACTTTTCTTAACTCCATTTTCCTCACTCCTAAAATGATGTAGTTTTCATATATATAAATTCTACATTTATTTGAAAGCACCTAAAATCATTTTAATTGTTTTAAAATGTCAATATTCATATAGATTTACTCATATAGTTACTTGTCCCATTGTTTTTCATCCCTTCCTGCATTGCCATGATTCCAGCTGGGATCATTTTCCTTCTGATGAAGGACTTTCTTTGATATTTCTTTTAGTATGTGGCTGTTGATGACACATTCCCTCAAAATTATTTGTTGTGGTTTATTTCACCATCATTTTTTAAAAGTGTACTTATGGGTCAGCAATCATTTTTTAGGACTTTTAAATTATATCTGCTGTTGTCAAGCTTTAATAATTTCTGCTGAGAAGACTTCTGTAAGTCTTATATTCCTTTGATAATGTGTCTTTGTTTTCTTGGGAT